TTAAGGAGATTCTAGCAAAGAAGAGGAGCTTGGAAGACCATGACATTATTATGCTCATCGAGGAATGTAGTGTCATAATTCATAATAAGTTACCTTATAAAGTGAAAGATATATGGAGTTTTATTATACCTTGCAATATTGAAAATTCTGATTTTAATAAAGCTCTATGATCTTGGTACTAATATTAACTTAATGCCTTATTCTATATTTAAAAAACTAGGTATTGGCAAGGTGAAGCCCACAATAGTGTCATTGTAATTAGCAGATAGATCAGTGAGATAACCTTTGGGAATAATAGAGGATATGTTAGTAAAGGTGGAGAACTTCATATTCCCCATCAACTTTGTGGTGTTACACATGGAAGTTGATAAAGAAGTTCCCCTCATACTTGAAAGACTCTTCTTTACAATGGGCAAAACATTAATCGATGTGCATGATGGTAAGTTAACATTATGAGTTGGGGATAAACATGTAACTTTCAATATTTTTAATACCTTAAAATTCCCTTTGAATACTGATGAATGTTTTAATATTGATATAATTGATGAATTTGTGTCCAAAAGTCTCACCAAGACAAGAAGAGACCTTGATGGCAATAAAGTTGTTAATTCAAATGAAGTAAATCGTCAAGAAAAGGATGGTGTAATACAGGAGGAGAAGTTGGAAAAAGGTACGTAAAACAATAAACCTTCCATTGAGGAACCATCCAAACTTGAGCTAAAATAGTTACTTTCACACTTAAGGTATACATATTTGGGTAAGAAATCCACTCTTTATGTGATTATTTTTTATGTTTTAGATGAAGAACAAGAATAGGCTTTATTGTGTGTACTTAACAAAAGGATTAGGGCCATAAGTTGGGGTATAAATGATATACATAAAATTTTAATGGAAGATAACTACAAGCCTTCAATTGAGTATCAAGATAGGTTAAACCCTCGTATGAAAGATGTAGTGAAGGTTGAAATGATTAAACTCTTGGATGCAGGGATTATTTACCCTATTTTAGATAATGAGTGGGTAAGCCCTGTACATGTAGTACCATAGAAGGGGGCATGACAGCAATTACCAATGAAAAAAAATGAATTGATCCCAACTATGACGGTTATGGGATGGCGTGTGTGCATAAATTATAGGAAGTTGAATAAAATCACCCGAAAGGATCAATTTCCCTTACCATTTATAGACCAAATATTAGAGTAATTAGCAAGTTATGCTTATTATTATTTCTTATATGGTTATTCAGTGTATTTACAAATTCTGATTGCACCCGAGTACCAAGAAAAAATAACCTTTACATTTCCATATGGTACCTTTGCACGTTGAAGGATGTCATTTAAATTATGGACATCCATATTTCATTATATGATTGAAAATATTATTGAGGTATTTATGGATGATTTTTTTGTTTTTAGTTCTTTTGATTTATGTCTTGTTAACCTTGACAAGTATTACAGCGATATAAAGAAGTTAATTTAGTGCTGAATTGGAAAAAAATGCAATTTCATGTTACGAAAAAGTATTGTATTAGGGTATAGAATTTCCAAGAGCGAATAGAGGTGGATAAAGCCAAGATTGGAGTTTTTGAGAGACTACTGCCACCTACTGCATGAAGGGTGTGAGGAGTTTTTTTGGGCATACGAACTTTCATCGACGATTCATAAAGGATTTTTCAAAAATTACTAAACCTTTGTGTCAATTACTTGTTAAAGATGCATCATTTGATTTTAACGAAGAATGTTCATATGCTTTTGACAGGCTGAAACATGAACACATTTCAGTCAAATTATTACAACACCATATTGGTCCTTGCCATTCAAGTTGATGTGTGATACTAGTGATTATGCTTTTAGTATTGTGTTTGGTCAACGCAAGGACAAGAAGTTGTACGTGATCTATTATGCTAGCATGATGTTAAACGACACGTAATTTAACTATGCCACAACTAAAAATGAGCTTATTACTATAGTTTTTGCTTTCGATAAATTTAGATCATATCTCATTGGAGCTGAAACTATAGTTTTTATTGATTATTCTACGATTAAATATCTCATTACAAAAAAGGATATTAAACCTCATCTAATCCATTGGGTTTTATTATTGCAGGAGTTTTATATTAAAATCAGAGACAAGCAAGGAGCAGATAACTTGGTTACAGATCACTTATTGCGATTGGAGCATACAAAAGTTGAGGAGAATAAGGTGGACATCAACGAGCTATTCCCTGATGAGCAACTTTTTATTATGATAGTAGCTTAAGCCTCATGGTATGCAGACATTGTGAACTACTTGCAATATAATATAGTTCCTCCCAAGTTTTCATATCAACAAAAGAAGAAATTATTTTATGATGTAAAATACTACTATTAGGAAGAACTATATTTATACAAATATTGTGTTGACCAAATAATAAGGAGATGTGTTCCCAATGAATAAATTTAGAATATTTTGACGCATTGTCATTCATTGGCATGTGAGAGACATTTTAGGGCAATAAAACTGCAGCAAATACTCCATTGTAGATTCTATTAGCCGTCCATATTTAAGGATGTTATTATATATGTGGCTTCATGTGATAGATGTCAAAGGATGGGCAACATCTTAAAAAGGAAAGAGATGCCTCTAACAAACATTTTGGAGGTTGAATTGTTTGATATGTGGGGGATTGATTTTATAAGACCTTTTCCTCCATCCTTTCGGAATTTGTATATTTTGGTGGCAGTTGATTATGTTTCTAAATGGGTGGAAGTTATTGTCCTTCATAATAATAATGCCAAGAGTGTGATAAATATTTTTAGAAAGAATATATTCACAAGATTCGGCACGCCTCAAGCAATCATTAGTGATGGAGGTAAGCATTTTTGTAACCAATATTTGGATACCTTATTAGCTAGATATACGGTTACTCATCATGTAGGTACCCCTTACCATCCTCAAATAAGCGGTCAAGTGGGGATCTTTAATAGGAAAATCAAGTGCATCTTGGAAGCAATTGTAAATGGAGCAAGGAAAGATTGGTTAAAGAAGGTAAATGATGCATTATGGGCATACAAGACTGCATTTAAAACACCACTTAGTATGTATTCCTATTGTCTAGTATATGAAAAAGCATGTCATCTTTTGATGGGACTCAAACATAAAGCTTATTGGGCTATGAAGTTGTTGAATTTCAATTCCAAGGATGTGAGTGACAAACGCTTATTGCAGTTAAGTGCATTTGAAGAATTTAGACTGGTTGCCTTTGAGAATGTGAAAATCTATGAAGAACGAACTAAAAGGTGGCATAATAAGCACATTGAAATGCGAGAATTGCAAGTTGGTCAACAAGTCTTACTCTATAATACACACCTAAAATTATTTTTAGGAAAGTTGAAATCCCATTGGACAAGACCCTCCACCATCACTAAAGTTTTCCCTTATGGAACTGTTGAGCTTCAAAGAAAAGAGTAGAAGTTTAAGGTTAATGGTAAGCGTGTGAAACCATATTTGGGAGGAGATTTCAAGAAGTTAAAGTCCACCTTAGTTCTCACTTGAGTCAACTGTGACAAAGTTGAGCTAACAACTACAAACAAAGCGTTGATTGGGAGGCAGCCCAATATAAATAGTATTAGATAGATAAGTACAAATTTTTTTTTTAATTTTTAGGATCCTATATTTTTCTTATTCAGTTATTTTTTTTATTTTCTTATTTCTTTTTCTTTCCACCTCTCCCTTCTATTTTATAATTGTTTTCCTAATGCTTGTGGATTCTTAATTGAGGTCCAGCCAATATTTTTTTATGTTGTTGATATCTGCTTTAGATTAGAACAGCTCTTAGTGCGAAATTCTTTTGGAGTAGGCTACATAAACACTACGCAAGGGGAGTATTTTATTTTTTCACTGTTTTATTTTTATTTTCTTGGGCATAATGTATTAATAAACAGTGAGCACATTGTTCATAATAAGTTAGGGGCTATTTGGCCTTTAGAGTTTATATAGCCATTTTTTTCTAAATTTATCTTCTTTTTTTTATATGCACTAAAAGACTAAACTTTTTACCATTAGTAGTTAGTGAAGCAGGGTAAAAGTGGGATTTTATCTTAACTAAAATTATGGTTATTATGAAAAGAAAATAAGAGATGTTTGTAAATAATAATTAGATTACTTGGTGATTATTTTCCTTAACTTATAGGTGCAAGGATAATAACATAAGAACCTGATCTAGGACATTACACTTGGGACATAGATAATGTGAGTTTGATTTTTACCTTTGAGCTAGTTCTAAACTAAGGTTCAAGTGA